GAACACGATTCGCGCAACGAAAATTACTGAAACCAACTCCTAACGGAGATATTAACATTTTTATTTCACATTGGTTACAAGGAATTTGAACTGCCCGCTCACAAGAAACTCAAAGCTCTACGTGAGTCAAATTGCGCACTACAACGGTTTCAGCAAGCTTCTAAATCAAGCAATGTTCATTTCCTACCATGTGTTGTTCAAACTATGAGCAATTTGCTATAGCTGAGCCAAAGCGTAAAGATCGATGTTGCCAGATTTTTATATCGCAGAGACTGTCATGATAAAGTTTAGCGCGCGATGTGAATCACGTAGATCATTGAGTTTTCATGAGCGGGTGGTTTGAATTCACGCATGAAGAATCATTGAATATCTTCGTAAGGAGTGAATTTCAGTAATTTTCGTTGTGCGTATCGTGTTCTACGTAAAATTTTGGTTGGGAAACATGTATCAGAATGCTGAATTTGTCTACCTTTGCTGCTACCTTGTCTAGTGGTCCATTCATGCCACGCTACTGCATCGCTGGCGATTACGCCGAATTCAACGATTCGATTGCTTGCATCTCATGGTCATTTTCTGTCGTGCTAAGGAAAAAAAGCCGTATGAACCTTTAGGCGTTGCCAAATTTACTTTAAGAAAATTCGAATTTTCTAGTAAACTTATGAATATTTTTCTTCCAATTTTTCTGATAATTTTGTTCGCAATTTCACCTAAAGATTCCGAAAATTTAAAGGAAAAATATTCATAACTTTCCTCAAAAATAAACATTTTATCAAAGTAAATTTGGTGACTCTCGATGTTCATGCGGCGTTCTTCCTTTGTAAGGCAGTATTGTGATGGTTGAATCTAGGATATTGGTTAAGAATTCATGTGACTTATCGAAAGGTAAAAGTCTTTCAGCACTACCTGAGATGCCGCCCTTTGAAAAATACGCTGGATGGCGTCATCGATCACGTTCATGGCGCGATCTCTCCATGACCACTGAAAAAAAAGTTCAGTGAATCCGAACCGGTTAGGAGCGAATGGAACCAGGTTTTGTTCGGTACACACAACCGAATTATTCGATTAGCTAGACCAAACTGTTCGGTCCACTGAACCGAACCATAAGAATTTGTCCGCAAATAAAAATAAAATAAAATATAATAATTGTTAGGTGAAAACTTTATAAGATATAGATTCTAACTATATAAAAGTAATATCAATTTACTAAGTTTTTAGACTAAATAAAATAAAATTCGGTGGCTTGCATTGAATTTTATACTTAAATTTCTCTATAATAAAGAGTTAGTAAAACAGAAAAAACGAAGGGTTGAATAAAACAGAGAAAGTAAAACAGAAAAAACGAAGCTTTGAATAAAGCAGACAAGAAATTCAAGAGGAATAAGCATAGGATTCGGTTCAGCGGACCGAACAGTTTGGTTGAGCAGGACGAATAATTCGGTTGAGTGTTCCAAACAAAACCTGGTTCCATTTGCTCTCAACTAGTTCGGATTGCCGAATTTTTTTTTCCAGTGACGTGATTTTTAGGAGAGCATATGAATCGATTGTTGAATCGTCATCGAAAGATTCCAATTTTGACGATGCTGTACATCGATCGAGGATCAAGGGCATTCGATAACAATTCAACATTTCAGGCGTGGAATGAGAAAGGAATACGCATTCAACGTGAGCACGCGCTTTTATTTTCAACTTTGTTTTGTCAGACTGGAGTTTGATTTTTAATTAAAAAACGAGCCTTCCTCCTACCATTAAAAAAAAGAAAAAAACTGTTTAATCCATCATGATGCCTTCCGCAATAAGCGGTTAGAGCATGACCCGGTTTTCGAAACGGTTGGGTTTTGATCCCGGTAGGACATGTCCTGCTCATTTATTACATCCCCATTCCGTCATACAGTCATGCCATTTTTTCGGAAAATGACAACTTCAAAAAGAATTCGATTGACTTTAGCGGCTCGGCGTTCAGTGTAAACAGGCTCACCTACCTAAAGCATGGCCGACGAAATTCTCAGAATTTTATTTTTACCAGCTGATTATACCCCCTTTAACGTTATTAAATATAAATTAGCGGATGAAATTAAGAACATTCCCAAAATTTTCCTTGCTGGCGGGACGTTAATTGCTATTTTATTATTATTATACCAGAACGTCCAGCGTCCAGGTATTGAGTTTTTTACATCCGAATTTCTTGCCACCGTTGATGACTTTTTCTGAACCGGCTAAAATTCGCCTCCATATGACTCAGCTGTTGCGTCACCGTTACCATGGATATGCAGCTTCTTAGCCACGTCTTATGACTTTCAATACTGTCCTTGTGCATTGTGTATCGTATTTTTCCCTCCTTGGACCTAACAGCTGAGCGCGTCTCTAACACCTGGGTATTAGAGCTTTCCGGCTTGTTTTTTCTTTTATTTTGTTCATCATTATTTATTTTTATTAGAGAAAATCCATATTTTATGATATTGGTACATAAAGCATTTTTCCTTAGCAGGAGAGTGCGGCCAACTAGGTCGCGCTGATTGAAAAAAAAACGCGCCTGAGATTGATCGGGCTCAGTTTAATAAAGTCCACACGGGGCGGGGACGATTAAATCAGCTTACAAGTCCAGAAGTAAATTCAATTTAAATTTTTGTATTCGTTTAGGAAGTTGACACGAGAGTCGCCTAAGTGCGCAACTTAAGTAAACAAGGGCCGTACAGCTCCGGAGAGACAGAGGGCGGAGGGGGGGAGGGGGTGTGAGTGGGGGCCGGGGGCGGGTCATTAGGAAAACGAGCGGGAAATGAAAATATTTTCACTGGTGCCAGTTTATGAGTGGTGTGTTTTTATTGTAGCGCCTCTCGGGATAGGGGAGCTTAACCTCGCCCCCAGCGCGAAAACCCTCTCGCGCGGATGTGAATGTAATACTGCCAACCCCATCATTTGGACGTATTTCTGCCCAACGGGACTATGTGCATCATGACGTGAGCCCTGTTACGCACATATTCTTATGGGTCTCGCGGCTCATGTCTCAATGCACATAGTTCTGTTTGGCAGAGATACGTCCATTTGAAATGTTTTAACGACGTGCCGGCCAGATCGTGGATTTATCGGACTCATGCATGTTGAACCCGCGTATGTCTATTATCTCATGAGCCCTGGTTTACATGCTTCCTTGTGGGATTCAGGAAATGGAGTTGGGAGCTTTTGACATCGAGTGGTTGGATCGCACATGTTGCTGTGGGCCACGTGTGAGTGGCAACGCTCCGGCGCGCGCTGCGTTCCATAACGAACTAAAGACAAAATAATTCGGGATGCGAAGTGATACGCCCGGAAAAATGTGAACGAAGCGAAATAAATTGCGTTAATGGCTCGACCAACTTGTGAGTTTTGTATTATCCATCAATTTAATTGACTCGGAAAGTCACTGTGAGTCCTCCCTCGTGACTCCACTGCTACGTTGGGAAAAACAGATCAGTCAGTTTTATGAAATCGATGGCTCAAGTTACAAAATGCGTGTTTCCGACGGTAACTGCGCGGATCTCCGTTCGTGTTTTACTTTTTTTAAAAAGAGAACTAACCAACGCTGCCGTGACAGCGAACAGAGCAGTAAGTGCAAAAATGAAGTTATGAGAAAACAGGCTCAGAAGCTGACCGGAAACTTGCATTGAAAGAAGCTTCCGTTCTTTGTCAAATTGCCACTAATCGTCCGAAAGACTCCTAGAAATCGTTTGGACGATTAAAAATCGACTGATTTTATTTCAATTACAGAAGAAGGGTATTTTTCGTTTTCATACTAGGTTATTGTTAGGCAAGACAGCCGGAAGTGCTATCTTCTGCATGCTTTCGTGGTTGCGTTTTGGACACACAACAAATGCATTTTCAGGTGCGAAATTCGCAGAAGAGGGCGGCACTGTACTTATAAGCACTATTTTCATTGGTTCTCTGGAGGAATACTGTCATTTTTTGCACATTTACGGCTTTCTCATATGTTTCCTTTTGATACAATTAAGATGAATTCCGCTGCTTTAGCAATATCAGTGATTTCATCTAAAGGAGTTTAGACGAATTTTGAAGGAGACTCGATTTCGAAAATTTGACAATTACTGCTCTCTTCACGGCAGAACGGCATTGCTCGACATTTTCCGTAATTTTTCTTTTTTAAGAGAAATTCAACCGTAGAGTTGTTCATAGGTCGGAATGGAAAAGAACGTTTTTCAAAGAAAAGTTCCTAGAAAAGAGGTTAGCAGTTTTTCTTTGAAGAAGCTTGTGTTTTCAGAGTGTGCAAGTTTTCAAAACTTTCAAACAGTCGTTTCTTGGAAGGACTGAAGAAGAAATGGACGTATTTCTGCCGAACAGAACTATGTGCATTACGACATGAGTCTTATTATGCATACATTCTAATGGGTCTCAGGGCTCATGTCTTAATGATGCACGTAGTTCTGTTTTGCGGAAATACGTCCAAATGACGATGGGGTCTTGTTTCGTCGTTCTCCGGAGGAAGGAACGTAACTTTATCCCAAGGTTGCAAAATTGACTCAAATTATTAAAAATGTTGACAACAAAGTATCTGTGAAATTTTGGTCCATAAGTTTCCCACTTTTGCTTGAGATCTGAACATTGGCGGCTCCAGCAAATCGGCAACATTGTCTTTTCTCCATGTAAACCTATGGTAATGTATCGATCTTTGGAGGGGCCAGGTGCTCCGACAAGAATCAATTATTTAGCATAGGTTTAAATTGAGGAAATCTGGTGTTGCCAAATTTCTGGATCCGCCTCTGGATCTGAAGAATAATCATTGAAACTTTTAAGTTGAAATGCTCAAGATTCTCTCGGAAAAAATGCATTCGCGGGCGGGGAAAGGCGACATTACTGGAGTTGCATTCTTCCGCGGGGAGAACACCGAATTGTGTCAGGGGTCAAAAAGACGATGGTAAAAATTACCATTATTGTTGGTGGTAATCCGAGGAAAATTTGATTATTCTCTCGACGGTTTCAAGGCATGTAAGTATAGGATTGGACTCACTCACCATGGCTTTATCGATGACGATGGCTGTCTCTACGAACTTGATGGTTTCCCGGACGTCGCGGCGAAATCTTTGCTCCGCGTTGGCTGGCTTGGGCCTTCGATTGATACCCATCTGCCTGTCCCAGTTCCCTGTGTTCCCGCAGCCCTTGTTCTTCACCTTGCTCTGCGCTTCAAATATGACGTGAGGATGCTGCTGCTAACAAAATGACAACGAATCGATTAAAAATCGGCAAATAAGACATCTATTATGAAATATAAGCAGGGTCAGGGTGGCAAAATTTCATGAAAATTAAAATCTTGAAATTTCCTGTCAAATATTTCATGAAATTTCACAAATTTCTGAAGGATATTGAAAAATACCGGTTCCTTACATGTTTCGCAAAGTGTAAAAATTGGGACTTTCTTCTAGTTTTGTATGTTTGAGTGCGGGTTGCATACTCTAGCCCCTGAAAAATATGAAATATTTCACAGCCTCGTGAAATTTTATGAAATATTTCACTGAAATTTCTAATCTTTCATTTCATTTTTAAGCTTCATAGGATTGCCAGATACACCTGCGCGCTACACGCGCGTCTTGACCCGAAAATTAGGATCCGATCCTACTTTGAGCGAGTTGCGGGCGGCGAGTTGCAACCTGATTGGCTAAGAAGATTGCCGACCACGGCCTACTCGCCGCTCAAGAAGCGCGTGTAGCTCGCAGGTGTATCTGCCCCTTAAGATTGGCACTCGCTGATTTGTGTACGATAGTGCATGCCGATGGTGAAACTGCAGAGATGCGTATCATGGTTTACGGCGTTGCGGATTTCCTGTCATACCTTATTATCTTCGTTAAAACTTATTAAGGTCATTTTTTTTTAAATTTCAGTGATTTATTTTCTCTTAATGAAGAATATTTTTTGAAAACTTCTCGCCATGGTGTTGGTTTGGTATCTTTTTAAAAAATAAAATATGGGCGAAGATACGGCATCCGATATACGCATTTCTGCATTGATGTTTGCATAATGCTGTGTTATGATGAAATTGTTTGCCACTCCAAGTGCTCGAGGTTTTGTGAAATTGGTACCAAATTTGCCGAAGATGATAGTCTAGCCATGAAGTGGGCACAGGAAGAAGCACGAAGTCTTCCTTTTGAAATGTTCAAAGTTGCAACTACCTCAGTTTTAGAACTTCCCAATTCAAATGATGTGAATCGCAGGGAACGCGATCCACATTCTACCGTATTCAGTAAGCCATATGAGCCATCAGACGTCGCCAAATTCCCTTCAAGAAATCAGGAATTTTCCGGAAAATTTATGAATATTTCTCCCCCGATTTTTCAGAGGATTTTGTTCGTGATTTGATCCAAAAAGTCCGATAATTTGAAAGAAAAATATTCATTTTATTTTTTTACAGGGAAGTTTAACGAAGCTGTCCGAAAATTTAACTGAATTTTCTTTGTGCTGCCGATCAAATTCAGTGAAATTTTCAAACAGATTCAACCAACAATCCCTCTGTAAAAAAAATAATATGGCGGTGGAAATTTCTGAACGTCGCATGGCGCAAGTGATACTTTGGCCAGAAAGTGACGAATTGTGTGAAAACCATGCGGCAACAAACGGAGAAAAAAATCGCGCACGGCTGGTAGGCAGCAGCACCTATCTGGGCAGATCCTTTTGCCATTTATTTTAGTTATGTTTTAGATTTTGAGATTATTTCCCAAACTTTTTTAACAGCGAGTTGCGAAATCTGTTCATTAAAACGAGGGATAACTCCGAAACAGAAACTTTTGCCATCTTCTGTGCAGCCGAACAGTGGGAGGGGTGGAGAGGGGAAAGGGGGGTAGTGGAGGGATGAAGAGCGGGCTCGTTGAAGGAAGAGATCGTAGAGATAAAATCGTCGCTCTCCAGACGAAAAATCGTAACTCCATTCCAAGGTTGCATAACTACCTCGAAAAATTTAATTTTTTACCTACAAATGACAGTGCGGTTGCTGTCTGAATTTAGCTAATTTTTGCACGAAATGGGTCAGTTGCAGAGGTGCAGAAAATGCTCCATCACGCGCCTGGGTTTATACCTACGTCACAGATTTTTAACACATATATTTGGTCGACTTGACGCAGAGAAAACTAACACACACAAAAATTAACCAACAGCTTGTGTTACTTTATGTTTCACTACCCTTATCAGCACAAAATGTTGGTTACTTTTTCTTACTATGCATTTAAGGAAGAATTAAGGAGTATATACTCAGAAATCCTCCACTGTCTCACTGATTAAAACGAAATTTACGAGTGGAAACTTTGCAACGTCAAAATGCAGTTACATGCTTTCGTTTTGGAAACGGAGAATCGGAAAATTGTAGACGGGCAGAGCCCTCGACAGTTTTCCTGATAAAAACGCAATTTACGAGTGGAAATTTGGCACCGCCGAAATGCAGTTACGTTTTTTCGTTTAGAAAACGAAAAATCGGAAAATTGTAGACGGGCAGACTGCAGAGCCCTCGACAGTTTTCCTGACAAAAACGCAATTTACGAGTGGAAATTCGGTACCGCCGAAATACAGTTATGCCCTTTCGTTTAGAAAACGGAGAGTCAGAAAATTGTAGATGGGCAGAAATTCTCGACAGTCTTTCTGATAAAAACGATAATTACAAGTGGAAACTTTGCATCGTCGAGTTGCAATTACGTCCTTTTGTTCAGGAAACGGAGAATCGGAAAATTGTGGACGGACAGGAATCCTCGACAGTTTGTCTGATAAAAACGAAATTTACAATTGGAAACTTCGCAACGTCGAAATGCGGTTAAGTCCTTTCATTCAGGAAACGGAGAATCGGAAAATTGTATGTGGGCGAGGTAGGGAACGGCGGGCTCGAAAATAGAAGGGACGGCGCGGAAATTGTTGCATGTTAGGTCGGTGGAGTACTGTCGGGACACGAGAAGAGACGGACAACACGGAGCTCCGGCGCGCGTTGAACAATGCGAGCGCTGAACAAGTGTTGAGCAACAAAACTTTGTCCGGACGCACGGAAAAAGTGTGTCGCTCGTTTAACATCACGTAGTTGGTGGGCAAAAAAAAGAAGCCATTGTGGAGGGGCTGCTCTCGCCGTGAAGAGGGACAGGGTTTGATTCCGACCGACGCGAACCCGACCATCTCCTCGGATATATGCTCACCGAGTGGTTGAACTTTGCCGGTTTGTGCCCCCAAGTTGCCACATTCTCTTCACTCGGTCGGAACTCGGATGGTGTACCTAGGAAACCTACACTGCCGTGCTTAAAGCCTGGATACACGCTCAAATGTCCGTCAATTTACGATCAAAATGATGACAAAAATGGCGGTCAAATGTTCGCAGGTCGCAGAAATTTGATGGGAGATGGTGCGCACCAGTCACCATTTGATCGGAAATTGATGGAAATTTGAGCGTGTATCCAGGCCTTAAGGAAGAGCGACGTATGAACATTTAAGAGTTGTCAGATTTCTCTTGATAAAACATGTATTTTTGACAATATTCATGCATATTTTTCTTTGAAATGTTTAGATATTTAAGATTAAATTGGGTACAAAATTTTCTGACAATTTTCGAAAATAATATTCGCAATTTTCTCAGTAAATTCGATTTTTATCGGAGGAAACTTGGCAACGTCTGAAAGCTCCTCCGGCGTTTTTCCTCAGTATGGCAGCATATAGGGAGAAGTGCGGACATGTCGATAATTTTGAGTCAGGCGATGGAGCTCTTAGGGTCCAAAACGGTAGCCAATCTATGAATTCAAATTATTCAGAGAGATTCATTATTACAATTGTTACGATCCGCCGTTGGTAAAACACGTATTTGACTTAGTTGTTGCATTTTACTCATTTCTGCGGAAGAACGTTCATTTAAGAACTGAAATCTGAAGATTGGTAGTGACATTTTTTGTTTTCAAAGGTTGGCTGCTCTTCTGGGCCGCAAGAGCTCCATACTTAGACATGTCCGTATTCTCCCTGTGAACTTAGAGGAGGATCGAGAAATCGAGCACGGCGTTGAAGTGCAACTATTCGTGTTCCGTGGCTGTCCGTGTTGCATGCCCTAAAATTGAAGGCGCACCGCTCTGTTTCGCGCTCACGGAGGCATGCGGAACTCCATTCTATTATTCTATTTTTTCTATTCTTTGGCTCGTTTCAGTATCCAAAAATGGGGCAAATTTTGCGAAAGCTCTTTAGCACCACAATCCATATTTTTCCCTAAATATTCACGCAGTGGGAGCATATCGAGAAATTCTTTGTTATTTGAAGTGAGGAACATCGTGCACCCCCAAATGTACAGAACCTCTACAGGGAGAGTATGGACACTGGGCCCCATGAAAGACTTAGATTCCTAAAATGGCGGCGGTTTGTTTTGCCTTTTAGGATGAGACGGAAGTCATTGCCAACTTTGGACGGTCATCACAAACCGCACTTGCTGGCAATATGTCGAAGTTGATTTTCCTCTAAACTAGCACACGATTAGCTGTAAAACTATGTAAATACGTCGTAATAATGCCTTTGGGTAAAGTTCTTGTTCCGATATACAAGTAAAACTACATTTTGAGTCATTTGGTATTCACATTTACTCACAGCATCCGCCATTTTAGGTTCTTAGACGGCACCGTTCACCGCTGGCCAATCAGAGGGGGTAACTGTACTCTATCTCAATGTGACTTTTGCTATACTCGATCACATTGCTTATATGGTTGGTTCGGGGTTCCTAAAATATATTGTTGCTGGTTGTTTTTAATCATTAATTTGATCCATGCTGAGAGTATTTGAGCGGGCAGTTTGAATTGGCTTTTCACGCGACTGTCTAAAAATGAAAACCCGTTTGTTAAGAAGTATTTAGCATGCCTAGTGGCAACATTGCAAGTTTCCCCACTGGTACAATGGTGCTTGCAAATTCGCACGTGTTTACGTTCACTCGCTGTCAAACTACCCTCGCCTCTCCCCATCTCCCCTCACATTCGCCCCCCAGATTCCCTCTAATACTGATCATTGGTGTGGAATTTAAGTCCACCGTGGTTGGACTAGGGGAAAAGGGGCTCTATTTCCAGCATATTTCAGCTAAACATTCCACCAAACCGTTTAAAAAAGAAACACTTATTTTAACAGTCGAACAATGTTAAAGCAATGCGTTTAAGCGAAATAAACCAGGCGAAATGAGTAGGTATGTAGTTGTTGGCAAATAATGGAGTTTTAGTGTGTGGGG